GCAGCTGCCCAGGTAATGGGGAAGGTTCTGGGCAGTTTGCAGCGTGTGGTGGACGGGGAGCGTGGATGTGCAGGGTGGGAAGGGTGTGCTGCTCGTGGGGTGGCCCAGCTTGCTGCCACCGAGGAGCAGAGCAGGCTGGTGTTAGGAAAATATCTGGCTTATTTTGGGAGGCTTTTTAGCTGGAGAGGTGAATGTGAGCTGTGTTGCCTCCGTGGGGGAGGACTGCCCCCTTTGCCCTCTGCAAGAGCTGTGTGGTGGAGGGCTGTGACCCTGCTGTTTCTGGGGTTGAGGTGTGGGGATGCCCCGTTCCTCTGTAGGGTTTATTTGTTGAATGTGGCTTGGTGTCCTTGGGGTGGCTTGTAAACACTTTCTCCTGCCCTATTAATCTCTCTCCAGAGTGTAACTTATTCTTCATCTCCCTAATGGACCTGCTCCATCCATGGTGGGGCTGAGAGCTGTGAGAAATCTGAGCCTCTTCTCTCTGGTCCCTGCCTGTCTCCAGTTGTCCTGGGTGAAATCCACCGGGAGTCAAACTCACTGAGCTGAAAACTGTACCAGAGCCCTCCTCTTCCCGCTGCCCTGAGCCCTGGGGCTGAGCCGGGTCCCCAGCAATGTGCAGGCAGATGCCTGGGGAGGGGGCAGCTGTGCAATTGAGGCAATGGGGCATGAAGCCCTGTGGAGGGGGGAGAAACACTGGCTTTGCAGAGGGGACGTGGCCCTGGCACGAGGCGCTCAGCAGCATGTTTTGCTGGGTGGCTGCAGCACTGTGTTAAGCCCTTGCACCCTGTGTTCATTGTGAAGGTGCTGCTCAATGTGGGGCAGTTCCTGGGGAGTCTTTCTAAGCCCCTGTCCCAAACCCCACAGGCCATGCAGGTTTATCTGCCCAGGTTTTTTCCTATGCGCTTTTCAGGTCTGTCTCAACGTATATCCCAGCCAGGAGCCCATCCGCGCTGCCCTGGGAGCATTTGGGCCAGCCCAATTGTTCCTCCTCTCTGAAAATGCCCCCCCTGCCACGAGGAGCTCTCTCCTGTTTGCTGCTAGGCCCTGCAGCGCAGCGGGGAAGGCAGCTGGAGGGCTGCCCGGGAAAGCTGGGCTCAGCAGGTTGGCCCCATGACCCTGGCCCTGCTCGCAGCAGAGCTGATGGAGGCACCGAAGCTTCGGGAGCCAGCTAGCGCTTCCCTGCTGTCATCCCCCCCAGGGAGGATCCAGGCTTTGGGCTTATTTCTGGCTGTCAGGGAGAGGCAGGGGGGACGGGACGTGGAGCGGGGACAGTGTCTCCCCATGCAGACCGCCTTCCCAAAGCGATGTCTGGGGACGGGACGGGGCTGAGCTCATGCAAAACAGACTGGAGAGGCTGGGTGCCTGCTGGGGCAGAGGGCTCGTCGGGTGGCACCTGCTTGTCCTCATTCCTTTGGGTAAGGAGCCAACTCTCACTGGCCGTCCCTTGGGTTGGCTGTGCGCTGTACTGAGAGCCCCTGGGGACACCATGCCATCAGCTGATTATGCTGCTGGCACAAGAGGTTTCCTTTAGTTCATCTGTGGTCCTTCTGAAGTGGTCATCCTGTGTCATCCTCTCCTTGGGGCGAGGTGGGGTGCAGAGCTGGCAGCTCGGGAAGCTGTGCTCAGCCTCTGTGGTCCTCAGCCTCCGGTGTGATGCACTGACACCAAGACTGTTGTCCTGCTGGTGCTGAGCAAATCGAGCAAGGGGCTCCTCTGGGCCAGGGGCTGGGACCAACACCCAGCACCCTGACATAGATCTGCAAGAAAATACTCCAGGGATTTCAACGCGTTGACCAGGAGGCAGCTGCCAGCGGTGGCCTGCAGGAAGGGGGGCTGCATGAGAGCGGTTTGGAGCCTGTGTGCCACCCTGTGTGGCTGGAGGCACGGCTGCCCTGTGAGCCCCAGCATGGATCACGTGAATCTCTGGCTTTGCATCTATGCCTCTCCTCCAGCATGGTGGAGGGGAATTGTTTCTACTTGGGGAGAGAGCAGCTAGAGGATGTGAGCGGGCAAGGGGATGAGCAGGAAGCAGGCAAGGCTTTTCCTTCCTTGTGTTCTTGCTAATGAAAACCAGGAGCCGTGCAACCTCGGAGTGCAGCAGTGCCTTGTGAAAATGGCATTGCAGAGCTGTCCAGGTGTCCTCCGGGCAGCGTGGCCCCTTTGCTGGGATTCCCTGGGAAGGTGGATGATGGCGGCAGCGGCCAAGGCATGGAGACCAGGGAGTTCTGGCTTAACAAGGGCCGTGTCTGGCCGATTCGGCAATGCCTAGGTGGGATGCCTTCTCCTCCGAGTGGGAAACGTTAAGCTTGGACTTTGTTCAAAGTGAGCATGTGCTGTATGCAGCAGCTCCTCAGACTTCCCACCTCTCTGCCCTGAGGTTTTTTTTCTTAAGGACAGTGCAGGGCAGGAGGTCTCCTGCCAACCAAATTCTTGTTTGAACAGGATGTTGACAGCTTGATTGCGAAGTGTTGCTGTGAGGTAGTATTTGTCCTCCCAAGGGACAGATGTGATGGTGCATCCCAATGGCAAAGGTCTCTCTCCTCCAAGCTGGATGCAATAATGAGTGCTCTGACTTCTGTCCTGTTTTCTGGTGCTTACAGAGGCCCTGGCCGATCTCCATCAAGGCCCTTCACGTGTTTGCCTCAGTTTCCCTAGAGGCTTACTTGTCCCCATGATGGGGCTGTGTTTGCAGCTGTGAAATGACTCTCCTAGAGTAAACTCACATAGCATTTAGCTGCTGGAGCCCTTTTTCCCCACCTGAGTCTATTCCTGTATCTCACTTGCAGTCTCAAACAATGAACTACGTGGGGCAGCTTGCTGAGACTGTCTTCGTCACGGTGAAGGAGCTGTACCGGGGTCTGAACCCTGCCACCCTGACGGGCTGCATCGATGTGGTTGTGGTGAGGCAGCCTGATAATTCCTTCCAGTGCTCTCCATTTCACGTGCGTTTTGGGAAGCTGGGTGTGCTGCGCTCCAAGGAGAAGGTGGTAAGTGGTGCCTGCCCTGGGACTATGCTTCCTCTCTGGTGTCTCCAGACCTAAGATCTTCCATAACCCCACCTGCTGAAAGGGGTGCTTGCCAGTTTTTGGAGGGGATGCCCCAAATGGAACCCATCCTCTTCCAGGGAGGACTGCTTCCCAGGAAAACTGGGAGAGGTCCCTTGCCTCAAAGGCTGGGTGGCTGTCAGCTGCAAGCAACCCCAAGCCGTCCCCTCCCTGGGGAAGTGCCTTCCTGTATGCTGACGGGTGAGTGGGTTCAGATGGACAGGCTTCTTCTGCCCCTTGCCAGGTTGACATTGAAATCAATGGGGAGCCTGTGGACCTGCACATGAAGCTGGGTGACAATGGAGAGGCCTTCTTCGTCCAGGAGACAGAGGAAAATGAGGTTGGTGATGAAGAGGTGCTGCTGGTCTGTGTCCCGCTGTGACCACCTGGAAGTGCAGACCTGAGGTGGAAGGACCAGGTTTGGACAGCTCTTCTTCCCCAGGGTGACTCCGTTATCCCCTCTGATGTTTTGTGTATCCGGAAAGGTTCCTACTCAAAGGACCTTGTAACCGGTGTGGAGGATCTGGGCAGTGGAGCACCCTGTGGAAGCATTAGACCAAATATCTGCACCAGGCTGTCCTTCCTCTCTGGGCATGGCTGCTGGCCAGCCAGGCAGATATCTTGGAGCTTGGCCTCTTGGGGGATCTTGTGATGAGGATGAGAGTGAGCCAGATGCTGTGGCAGGCTGCCCGCTCTACTGGGAAGCGGGATGAGACTAGTTGTGGCTTCCAGAAATCTTGGCAGCTCTTACCCAGGCTGACTTGTGGTTGCTGCTAGCTTGAGCTGGGTTTAAGAGCAGGGAGAGGGCTCTAGAGCCGAATCCCATTTTGCAGCCTTTGTAATTCTGGTCTTGTGGTGCCATCTCCTGCCCGCCTCTCCTTGCCCACGTTAAAGATGTCTTTAGCTTGTGGCTGGATAACCCTGGGTTTGGATGGTTTTTTTCTTTACTCACATGTTGCATGTACAGAATCTTTCCTTTTGGGCCTATCCACAAAACCACCCCAAGCTGAGGGCTCGGTGTTGGTTGTGCTGGTGGCGTATGTTGCAGAGATGAGAGCCATAAGCTGCCAGGCTGGAAAAGAGGGCGCTGGAGCTGATGGGCTCTTCCATCCCTGTTGCAGGGCAGCATCCCCTCCCGCCTCTGCACGTCCCCCATCCCCAGGGCAGAGAGCCCGGAGGATGCCGCTCAGTCCTCTCATGGGCAGGAGGCCTCCAGTGCTGAAGGGACCCTGCGCAAGAGGAGACGACGCAGGAGGAAGCCCAAGCGGAAGGAGGCGTTGGACTCTGAGTTAGAAGGCTGCAAGGAGACCAAAAGCAAGATGTCCGCGGAGGAGCCATGCAAGCTGCCAGCCCCCAGGTGAGTGGCTTGGTCTGGGCAGGGTGATGCGGTGGGTGGGTCGAGCCTGTAGGTTTGCTTGGTGATGCCCAGAAGTACTGAAACATGGGGATAGTGTTTTGAGTTGGACCCCAGCCTCCTGTGGAGTAGAAAGCCCGTGGAAATGGTCAAGTTTGGTATTGCCAGCTTTCCAGGAGAGGAGGCTGGTGCCCGAGGGTTGCATAACTGACCTCTTTCCTCCTTTGCAGTGACTCAGTGTATTTCTCCTTCACTGATCTCCCCCGAGAAGAAACCGGGTTGTTGCAATCCCCAGAGATGCACCCTTACTCTGATGGGGAGCTGGCCTCTGTGGACAGGTAACGGGCAGAGGCAAGGCAATCTGCTCGGCTTTAGTGAAAGCAGGGGATGTGCCTTGTGGCTGGGAAGGTGGTAAGGAAAAGGGATTTGGGGATGTCAGGAGAGCAGGTTTTCCTGGCCTGAATTGGTGTGGCTGGAGGAAAGCTCGGAGCCAATGAGGGGACACTTCTGGCCACGGTCACAGATGCAAGAAGCCTGCGTGCACAAGGCTCTCCTGCCTTTGCTGCTGAGCTGCTTCTGGACAGCTGGTGGCATAGGACTTTGCTTCCTTGGACCTCAGCTTTCCATAGGTCTTGCTCATTCATAAGTGATAGTCTTATGGGGCAGAACTGACCCTATGGGAAACCAACCTTACAGGGTTCTTGGCCATAAATGTCCTTGCAGTGATAGAAAAGCATGGGGCTGTAGGGTAGGTGAGGTCCCACATTCCCTTCTTTTCTTGTAGCCCCACCCTGAGCCATCCATCTTCTCCCAAAAGTGATTCTGAGCTGGAGATCAGACCGCAGGAGGGTTTTGCTCTAGGGGCTGAATCCCATGTGCAGTGGACCTGGGGAAGGCTCCCTCAGGTGAGTCCCTGCTCTTGCTCTTCTCTCTGCAGGCCTTTCAGACACCCCCTTCCTGCCAGCTGCTAAAGTGGAGGAGGCTGTGGCCAGGCACCCTTAGAGGAGTTGTCCTCTTCTGCCTGATGCTTTGGGCAATTTCCCATCCTCAAACCTGTTCTTCTGCTTTCTTTGAGGTGAATAAATCGGAACGAGTTGAACCAGTCAAGTCCACAAAGGCCTTTGCTACTGCAGCAACTACTGTCTCTGTGACACCAATCCCAGTGGATGAGGCAACCCATCTTGTTGCCACCTCTGAAGGTCTGGAAGAAGGTCCAGGCCCAGCGGGACATCAGGGTGCACCTTGTTTCCACGATGGGAATGGCCTCCCCAGGCTGAAGGACATCCCCAGGGCTGTAGGGGCAGAGAGCTTGTTGGAGGTCTCCTCAGCCTCACAAGAGAAACAGGAGGGAGGTGAGAATGTTGTGCCAGAGGTTCAGCCAGATGTGGAGCCCTTTGAGGGAGCCGCTGCTCTGAGGCAGGGGGGGGCGGGGGGGGCCCGGCCCCCGAGGGCCCCGAGCCCCAGCTGGAAAACCAGAGGAGACAAGGTGAGTGGGTGACTGGTGCTGCTGGAAGTGGTGTTTGAGCCTGCAGATGTATCTGACTTGGATGGGGGGCTGGGTTGTTCATTCAGTGTAACTCCTTCATGACTGTCATGGGTATTCAAGGTGTGACATATTTGCTTTGCCCTCTCCATGTGCTACCAGCTTTGAAGAGACATTCCTCAGGTTTCCTCCTTTCAGTGACCACCCAGATCCCTAGGAAGGCTTTCTTGCCTTACATTTCCTGAAGTCCATCCTCGGATGTCTCTGCTTTTGCATGCTTAGAAGATTTCTCAGCAGTGTAGACCATACCTTAACTTGAAGTGTCTGGCAGCACCTGGCCTGACTTATGTCTTCATGCTGAGCATGCCAACTCAGGTGGAAAATCACACAGAGAAAAACACACATCTCTCCCTTGACAGTGTATTTAAAAACACTCTTGTGTTATTACCTGTCCTAACCAATCTTACTCTTCCAGCCAGCATAAATTCAGAACAAAATGGTCTTCCTGAAGAAGAGACGCTTGGGATTCCTCATTGTACAAAGAGGGAGATCAGAGTGTTATCTTGCATGGCGCTAACTTCAAATAGCACCTTCAGATTGTCATAGCAGAACATAGTCAGGACTTTGGCCTGTCCTTTGTGTCCTCTTGGCAAGCGGTCTTATGCCAGTGCAGGTGTCTTGAGGTACTTCTGTTGCTGTTGATTTAAGGCAGCTTTTCAAGTAGGAAAATAGATGCCTTCTTTATATGATGTACAAATATGATAGAGGAAAATGCTGTTAGCTTTCTCAATAGATACTGAGGTGGTTGGAAAAGGTGATTCAGCTAAGCTCTCTTCCTTCTGTCTGTGCATTGAGGATCCACCAAAAGAAGTCCTCACTTGGGTCCCAGTGATGTTTACCTGGAAGACCTCTCCAACCTGGATGAGGAGCAGGTGGCTCTCTATTTCCCCAGGAGGTATGGGTTGCCCCAGCTGGCCAAGCTCAGACCTTCTTGAGCAATTCCCTTACAGCAAAGGTTGGAGGTAGGTCTAAAGCTATTGCCTGGTGCTGCCACTGTTTCTTCTCTTGCTGGTAGTGACATGGAGCGGAGTTCAAAGCCTGTGGCAGACCTCAGCAACTCTCTGTGTGTCCAGCTGCCGTCTGACTTGCCTGCTGACAGCCCCATGGACTCCGACTCTGATTCAATGCCCACGATTGCCCTGTCGCTGTGCGGAGGCCTGGGGGGCAGCAGGCAGATCTCTTGTGGTAGGTGGGAGGGAAGAGGGAATCTGCTGTCCTGAAATCTGTTATATACACCAGTGGCATGACACAGCCTCTGTCCCACCAGAGAAGTTCATGGAGCACATGGTCTCCTACCAGCAGTTTGCTGAGAATCCAGGACTCATCGATGACCCAAACCTGGTGATACTGATCAACAAGAAGTGAGTGGCCTGCTCTTCCTGCTGCTTCATCCCAAGATGACCAGTGTGGCCCCTTTGTCCCTACAGAAACACTCCTGTAGGAGTATGACTCCATCCCAGACAATGATTATACTGCAGTAGTTGTGGGAGGGGACCTTCTGGCCATGCTGCAGGATGGTGATCTGGAAACAGCCCTTGCTCCAGGCGTGGTGAAGTTCCTATCCCTCTTGCTTCTTCCAGGTATTACAACTGGGCAGTGGCTGCTCCCATGGTCCTGTCTCTGCAGGCTTTCCAGAGGAACATTCCTGAGGTCAGTGGCACAACACATTTACTGGCTATGCTTCTCAGCAGGGCTTGAAGAGCGCAGTGGGGCTGCAAGAGGCCAAGCTGCCCATCTGGGGCTTTGTGGGCACTCTGGGGCAGAGCTGAACATCATTCCAGCCCACAAACTCTGAGGTCTGTCCTTCCCCCCAGAGGCACCTCAGGGTGGCTTTTAGACACCTGGGTACCACTGATGCCTGGAGAGAGAGCTTTCCTTGTCAAAAAATCTGCTCTGATGGTTGTATCAGTGCAAGGCTGGCCCAGAGCTAGGTGCCCTGGCAGCCTGGAGGATTTGGGACTGCATGAGCCTGCTCCAGGGCTCTGTAGACCTGGCTGGGATTGTATGGAATAAGGCATCCAGATCTTTTTTTCTTTTTTCTTTCAAGCTGCATGAAGGGAAGAAGTCACTGTACCCTGCACCCCGAAACCATCTTGGCTCACAATGTGGCAGGAGTCACGCATCTTATCCTGTGAATAACTTTGCAAAGGAAACCCTGCCTGGACAAGGGTTTCCTTAGCCTGTTGAGCCAGTCCTCCCTGGGCTGAGGACTGACTTCATCTCATGTTCTGCCATGTTCACAGAGCACCATTGACCAACTGGTGAAGGAGAAGATGCCCAAGAAAGGCAGCAGGTGGTGGTTCTCCTGGAGAAGGAGAGAATTCCCAGCAGAGGAGGTGTTTGCAGTGGCGGCTGTGACAACCGTGTCTCCAGGGCACAGGAGTCATTCTGGTGGCTGGCAGGGGTGGGGATAGGAGAGTAGCAGGGTCCTGGGGATGGCCTGAGGCTGAGTACGAGAGCGGCCAGAGGGACCTGGTGGCAAGTTGACTTCTGAAGGCTGTTGCTGTCTCCTCAGGTCTGCTAATACCTGAGCAGCGTTAACCAACATTACCAACAACTGGTAATGCAGTAAAGCGGACCTTGTGCCCCTCATGCCACAGCCCAGGCACCACGTGTGCTTGCTGGTCTCCCTGCCCCACCGCAGCACCAGGTTGTGGTTCCTCTTCCATGGGCCAATGTCATCATAAAGGCGGGGGGGCGCATTGCCACGTCTTTTCTGGTATCGCTGCTCCGAGTGGCAGTAAAGCAAAGCAGCCCCTGCTCCTGCCCGTGGCACTGAGGTGCTAATGATGCCACTCTCTGCCTGCAGCAGTCGAGGCCAAGGAAAGCCAACGTGGGGATGCTGCAGCATGACTCTGCTCGGCAGAGGTGAGTGTCTCCCTCCCAGGTTGCCTTTAGGAGTCTATGCATGATCTCTTCTCCTCCTAAATGACCACTTATTCCCAAGTCTACCTAATGCATGAGGGCAGAAAGCTCTGTTAAGGCTCTGGCTGACCCCGGTCCAGCCAAGCTCCTCCATGGCCGCTTCCTGGTGGGTGCATTGTCCTGGGTCCCCTCCAGATATCCCCTGCTGCTCATGGGGAAAGCCATGGTCTGCAGAGTAAAGCCAAGGTGCTCTTCCTTTTCTTGTATAGGCAGGAGGAGGAGGTGTCATCCAGTGACGATGAGCCCCTGCACCCCAGGGACATGTTAGCAGTGGATGCCCCTGCACAGAAATCTCAGCCAACCTACAAGAAATCCTTGCGGCTCTCCTCTGAACAAATCGTATGTACTTTACTCCTCCTCCTTCACTGCCTGCTTGTGTGTGTAGGTGTGAGACCACCCTTTAAACAGGGATTTCTCTATTCCTGACCTAATTTTTTATAGGGCATCCAAGTATTTTGCCCTGGGTGGCCACCCTGTAGAGGCTTGGGGTCTCTGGTCTGGCCAGGTGGCAGTCTGGCCTCTGGCAAGCCTTGGACTGGTGTGAATCAGTGCTGGTGTACCACTTTTGTTCCCCCTCTGCCGCAGGGAAGACTGAATCTGCAGGATGGCCCCAACGAGGTGGCATTCAGCGTGACGACTCAGTACCAGGGCACATGCCGCTGTGAGGCCACCATCTACCTGTGGAACTGGGATGACAAGGTGGTGATCTCAGACATTGACGGCACCATCACCAAGTAAAGGGTCTTTTCCCCCCCCCATTAGGGCACAGTGTCCTTTCAAGGCTTGCGTAAGCAGCTAGGAGGGACCACAAACCACATCATCTTCCAGATACCCACCAGGTTGGATCAGCCTAACCTGGTCTCCTCTCCTTCTAGGTCAGATGCTCTTGGGCACATCTTGCCACATCTGGGAAAAGACTGGACTCATCGTGGGATTGCTAAACTCTTCCACAAAATCCACCTGTAGGTATTGGATCAACTGAGGCCAAAGGGAAGCAGGAGGATGATGGAGGAGAGGCTGAGTGGGAGCCAGAGTCAGGGCTCCTTACAGACGCTGGCCAAAATAGCCTAATTTTCTGCTGTCAGTGATGACTGATGCTTGCTGTGCTGTCTGGATGATATTGGGGGGTGAAAGCAGGGGGCCTCCCTTGGGAGCTGGGAGCAGATGCTTGTGTTGCCTTCCCTGGGAGGAGCGTGTGTCCGTGGAGGCTTTTCTGGGGAGATGTAGCTGAGCACTGAAGGAGATGAGATCGCACAAGATTACACCCGAGAGGCCACAGGCACAGCCAAATACCTTTGGGTCGCTGCGCAGCAGTGGCACAGGGGTCCAGCCGGCACTCTCAGCCCCATGGATCGGTGCCGGTTGCCCCTCTGGGCGCCCAGCTACCGCTTCCCGTGCCCCCAGGGGACCGACCCGCCCCGAGGTGCGATGCTGTCCCCGCACCGGGCGGAGTCTGGCAGTGGGTCCCCGCGGAGCCCGGCCTTCAGCTCCGTCCCTGGCACCTGTGGCCACTAAGAGGCACTGTGGGCCCGCGGATGGCTCGTCCCGGCCCCGAGGGGGAAACACGGGGCTCCCGCTCCCCGGGGGGCTGCGGGTGCGCTGCTGCGAGACTGGGGCTGCTCTCGCTGACACCTCGGCTGCCTCCTGCCACCTCCGATTCCGCAAAAGCACCATGCCCGCTCTGCCCGAGGTGCCTATCCAGCCGTGCGGGCTGCTTGAGGGTCTGCAGGGGCTGTGTCCAGCTCCCTGCGAGCCACACACAGCCTGGTGTGATAGAGGTGCTGGCCTGGGGGTTCCCGTCTGGGTGCACGGGTACCAAGCAGCAAAGGGTGCTTTGCAGCCGGGATGGGCATGCGGCTGCTGGGAAGGGCCTGGAGGGTGGTACGGGGTTCCCCTCCAGCGCCGCTCCCCAGCAGCGAGGCAGATGGGGATCGGTTTTAGCCTGGGTCCCTGGGTAAGTGAGTGACGTTGTTTGTGAAGTCACCTTGCTTGCTGAAGGGGTGAACAGGAGCAGGAAAATGCCTTGTCCAGGGCACAGCTCGGAGGGGTTCCCTCTGCTTTCTCTAGGAACGGCTACAAATTCCTCTACTGCTCAGCCAGAGCGATCGGCATGGCGCACATCACCAAAGGCTACCTCAAATGGGTCAAGGAGCAAGGCTGTGCCCTCCCCAAGGGCCCCATCCTGCTTGCCCCCAGCAGCCTCTTCTCTGCCTTCCACAGGTACTGCGTCTTCTCCTCCTCCCCAGCCCTGCACCTCCTGTGTCCCTGGGGATGGCACCCCCCTTCCCCCCAGCTTGACGCTGAGGGATGTCGCAACCTTAAACTGCTTCTGGCCTCCTTGGTGCAGGATGCCTTTCATGGGAGGCAGCAGGGGAACTGCCTGCCCTCCCTGGATCTTCATGGTGAAGCTCCTGATGCACAAAATCTCTCTTGCCCTTCAAATCACTTCTTTGAGCCCTGGACAGCCTGGCTGCCCACAGCCCTGGCCAGCTGATGTCACTCTGACCTCTGCTCTCTGTGTGTCTTGTGCTGCAGGGAGGTGATTGAGAAGAAGCCAGAGGTATTCAAGATTGCCTGCTTGATGGACATCCAAAACCTCTTTGCCACGAAGCTGCCCTTCTATGCGGCCTTTGGGAACAGAGCCAATGTGAGCGGGTCTCCTGGGGAGGAGGGAGTGCTCAGGCTGGGGGGGGGTGGTGGTGCCTTCCTGCAGCTCTCATGCCTTGCTGGCCTTCCTTGGGCAGGATGTCTACGCTTACAAGCAAGTGGGCCTGCCAGAGAGCCGCATATTCACGGTCAACCCCAGAGGAGAGCTGATCCAGGAGCTCACGAAGAACCACAAGTCAACGTAAGTGACCTGCTTGTTCCTCAGCACCTTTGGATTAACCTGGCTTTAACCCAGAGAAGCATCTTATGGGGTGGAAAAGCAAACAAAATCCCAATGCAACTTCTTTCTTACACCCATAGGTATGAGCGGCTGTCGGAGCTAGTGGAGCTTATCTTCCCTCCCCTGGGACAGAGTGGGAGCCTTGCTCTGGTGTGTCCAGAGTACAGCCACTTTGCCTACTGGAGACCTCCACTGCCTGCTGTTGATTTGGATGCCTTCTCCTGACCCCATTACCTGTGGAGACCTGCCCCAGGACTCTCCTGTGTGTCCTCTGCCAGGACTGGATGGTCCAGATGCGTCTCTTCCTCCCTGTTTGCTGCTCAGGCATTTTGCACTTCTAATACGGGTTGTGTTCTGCACTAGAAACACCCCTTCTCAGGGGACCAAAGGGGGGTGGAGAGGGAGTTCTGACTCTATAAAAACTCCATTTACTAAACTAAAATTCCTGTAAGTTCGGTCTCTTCTTAATGTTCTTAACACTTTTAAAGCCTGGCTCTTTTTTATAGGTGGTGGTGGATCACTGTCTTATTTATTGATGAGCCTCTGGCTTAGCTATTTCTACCTCCAGTATGACCAGTGTTCCCAGACAGTCCAGCTACCTGCAGTTTGGTAGCTGGTGGAGCGAAGCTGTCCTGTGGCTTAACATCTCGTTAAGGTGGATGGAAGCTGTTGGGGTTTTGAGTGTTCTTCACTAATAGCAATAAGTAATAAATAGTGCCTTAATCCAGGCTGCCTCTTGTCCACTGTAGCCCTGTGCATGGAAGTGGGAGCCAGGCTCCATGTCCTTTTACAAATGTGGTCGGGTCTATCCTGCTGCAGTGCCCTGAAAAAGGTGGAGATGGGAGCGGGACCTACAGCTTCCTCAGCCTGTGGAGCAGCTGCACTAGAAAAGGACTTATTTCAATTTTTTTTTGCCTACTACTTTCAGGTAAGGGTTGCAAAATTGATTTGACACAGGAAGCAAACCCCGGCTTTATGTATGTGTGCGTGGGGGTGAATCTCTCCCGTGCCGGCAGCCTGCCACAGTCTTGTGCTAGGGCAGGAGCTTATTCCTGTGCCCCTGTATTGGAGCGCTGAAGGAAAGCTCAGCTGTCCTAAAGCAGGGTTGGGCTGGGACTCAACCAGCCTGTCCCCATGCTGGGTGGGGGACTTCTCTGAAACCCGGTTGCCAGCACTGCAGCCTGGTGCCCCTGCCCTGGGAGCTCTCGGCTGTAACTATATGAAACAAAACAGGCAGGAGCACTGCTGGGCTCCAGTCTGCCATCCAGCTTCTCCTTCCCTGACCACTGTGTGCGAGTGCAAATCATCTCCTTCTAGTGTGCCTGCCTCTGCGCTTTAACCTCTAGCTCTGCTTTTCTGAAAGCCACACAAGTCATCTTGATCCTGGCAACCTCAGCAAGAAATACTTTATTTTTTTCCTTTCCAGTACAAACACTTTTTTGCTTTTAAAATCTGAACAAATGTACAAGGTTTTAGAAACAACAAAATGCAGTCTTTTAACAGGATCAGTTATCAACTGCCTTGGAAAGCTGCCTGTGCAAGGACAAGCACGCGGGCACCATCTCCTTCCCTCTCTGCAAGCAAAAAAAAATTAAAAAAAAAAATGCCCTATTTTTATACAAAGTTCCTTTCACTTTTTAAACACGAATAGCTGAGAACTGAAATAGAAACTGTCCCTATCTTCAAGTGACTAGTCAGGAATAGTCCAAACATAGCACCATTTTCTGGAAGGTCAGACTTCTTCCTTGTCCTGGTTTTGTTACGGCCAGTCCTAGCTCCCTCTGTGCTGGAGGAAGCTGTTGCTGTTCAGCTGCTCTCTAACCCAGCCCTGGCCTGGGAAGGGGTGAGCCTGGCCCTTGGCTTAGTTTTTCTCTTTGGTTGCTGCAGCCTTTTTTTCTCCCTGTTGTGAGGGGATGGGGAGGGGGTTCGGGCAGGATGCTCCTGTGGGGCGAGGGCTCCCCTGGCCCACTGCAAAATGCCGAGGGCTAGCTTGAGACTCCTTCCTTGGGCTGGGGGGAAGAAAAAAAAAAGGTTTTGTTGTCTAAGAGCAGGTTTTGCAGGATGCCCAAAGGTTGCTGGAGGTTGCTTCTCAGCTGGAGAAGTGTCTCAGCAGCTGCAGTGCGGCTCCAAATCAGCAAAGCCCAGAGCAGCAAGAGTGGATTCTGGTGCTGTGAGCATCCAGCAGCCTGCGAGCCCCCGTGGGTAAGTGAGCGGTGGGAGGCCAGGTCCCCTCTCCCTGCTCGTACAGCTGATGGCCCACGCTCCTCTGGCAGGGGAAAGAGCTTTTATGCATCAGGGTAACATGACGCGGCGCACTGGACTCGGTGATCCCTGTGGTCCTCCCCAGCCTGGAAGCATCTGTTTCAGGGAGCTCATCCAGTTTTTATGGAGGAGAAAAGGCGCCCAGATGCATCTCTGCTGGGAGTTGCTGCTGCTTTGTGCTGGTCAGAGCACAGAGCTGCTCCTTTGCAGGGCAGGGGGGGAATCGTGGCGCAGAAGAGCAGGGGCAGCCTGGTGAGGGTGCTGGGCACCAGGTGGGAGCTGAAGGCTAGCTGGTGTGGAAGGGTCCATGAGCTGCAACGCTGAGCTGATAGAAAAATATGTTCCTCTGCTATAAAGTGCCAGAGCTGGTCAGATGGAGGCTCTTTAATTTCCTCTTCATCCTTTCTGGTAACGAAGTCCCTGTTGGCTGAGCAGCGGAGGACACCCGTGCTGGGCTCCCTGGGAGAGGTGGGGTTTGTGTGCAACCGCCGCATGGTCCAGGCACCTGCTCCATAGGGCAAGTACGACCTTTTCCAGCCTGCCTGTTTGTGGGAAACCAGAGTGACCTTGGGTAAATCACTTCAGTTTTCGTGAGGTCTCGAGAGGTCTTCTCAAAAGTGCCCTGCCTCCCTCCTCCCTGGGGCTCCATGTTGGTGCATGTCCCCGGGGCTGTTGGCATCCCAGTGGGCTCAGAAGAACACAAGGAGGGCGCAGGCTCCTGCTCCCACACTGCCAGACAGGGAAAGCCTCACGCTCGCACCCTGGAGCAGCTGCAGCTCTCCTGCCCCGGGACGAGATGAGGGAAACCACGTTCACAGTTTAAGCAATAAAACAGGAGAGAACTAGAGCTGGAGGACAGGACTGCTCCATGCCTATCTTGGTCTCTGCGGAGACCTACGGACACATGTCTCTTTGGGGAAGACACAAGTTTTCCATAACCCTTGATGTCAGTCCCAGGTTTAACCAGAGAGCACAGCAAAGTGGGATTGCAAAGCACGGCAGCCCCGAGGGATCACGGGCCCTCCCCCAAATGCTGCTGCAGAGGTTTTTAGCTGCTCAGTGTGGTTCTTCGAAACACGGCAAGGGACGTGGGGGCAGCAAGAGGAAACTTTGCACTCGGATGAGCACCATGACAGTGGATTGTTCAAAAATACATATACACATATCGCATATATATATGCATATGTGTGTTTTCCTAATGCATATCCTCATATGCTCCGTAAGGCATGTGCGTTTGCATGAAGGAGTGAGCAGTATAAATGGATTTACCATACATGAGGAGGGCTGCCGTCTCGGAGAGGGGAAGGCAGTTTCCAGGGGGACGTGCGAATACGGGTGTTCTTTGAAATCCACAATTCTTGTGGTGAGTTTTGTTCCCTGGAAGGAGCGCTGGCTCTGCTCAGTCCCTGGATTAAGACGCAGGTGGTCTTTAGCTCAGAGAAACTCTATTCCTCAACTGACAACTACAGGGTTTTTTTCTTCAAGAAGCGATAAATCCACAAAAATAAAATGAAAAAAAAAAGTTCCTGCCTCCAGCTGCCTCCTGAATTGTCCTTCTGGGGTCATTAGCCCGGGAGCCAAAGCAACGCCCCCGGCCAGGAGGCAGTGACCCTGCTGCACCAGGGTCGGGACAGCTGCTGAGTGTCGGGAGGCGAGTACTGTAATGGCAGAGTTATGGAAAAGTGGGGCCGACAAGATTTAAAAAAAAAAAAAAAAAAAAGGGTTTGTAGCAGCTTTTAATTTATCTTTTCATTAAAAAAATTATCCCAAGAACTGTTGTCACATTGGAGCGAGTCTGTGTGATATAAGTTAATCCTGTCCTTCACGGGGAGGAGGAGGAAGAAGCGCGTGGTGGCGTGGCTAATGCTGCTTCCCCTCCACCTGCTCTTCCAAGTGGCCGACCTGCTCCGCCAGCTCGGAGACCTTGGCTTGGCAGTCAAGCAGGTTGTCCTTCAGTCCCGTTATTTCCTGAGAATGGGCAGCCAGGGTCCCGTTCATGTGGTCCATGTAGTCCCACAGGCTGCCCGTGTGTTTCTCTAGTTCGTCCCTGATGCCGTCCAGGCTCCCCGTGACAGCACCCAGCCTGCCGCAGACGCTCTCCACCCGGGCCACCCGGTCATCAAAGTGAGCTATCTCCTGCTGCAGGTCATGGGCTACGCTCTTGCAGGAGCTCAGGTCACTGACGATCCTGGCTTTGAGTCGCTCCAAGTCTCCCTTGAGGTTCAGGACGCGCCGGTTGCTGAAGAAGAGCTGGGAGCCTTGGTCGTTGACTTTCTCCTGGATGGAGTGGACCTCATCCTCGATCTTCCGCTCGTGCTCATCCAGTGAGGAGTTGACATGCGTCACGGTGTCAGAGTACTGGGAGACAGAGTCCTTGAGCCCCGTCAGAGACTTGCTCACGGTGTTCAGGTTGATCTTTAGCAAGGTGATCTCCCCTTGCAAAGTCCCCGATGCTTCCTCTTCAATTCGCCGCTGGATCTCCAGGATGGTGGCGTTGAGCTTGCGCAGGAGGTCGTAGTTGCTGTCCATCCGGAGGAGCAGGTCCTGGTTCTTGTTCTGACAGTCTTCAATCTCTGTCCGGAAGGTCTCCACATCTTTGGAGGCGGAGGTGCAGCCCAGGGAACAAGTGCTCTCCAGTGTGACGAGGCGATTCTGCAACACCTCCAGCGTCTCATCCGTCCGTTTCCTCATGCTGGCGAGCTCCCCCTCCAGCACGGGCACCACCGCTCCGTCCATGCCCACAGGAGAACTGATGTTGTTCAGCTCTCCCACTATAGTCATGAACCTGTCCTCCAGGGTCTGCATTTTATCTTCAAAGGCAGTCCTCATGCCATCCACCTCTGCTACCACCGTGCCTCTCATGCTGTCCTCTATACCAGAGCAGCAGCTCCCCGTTTCTCTCTCTGTAGCGTTGAGTCTGGCTTCCAGGTCCTCAAAGCGCCCTTCAAAAAGGTTCCCTAGGGTGACAGTGGAGATTTCTCCATCCAGCCGTGAGTGCAAATTCTTCTGGGACTCAGAGATGCTGTGAAGGCCTTTCTCGAGGATGTTCATGCGATCGGTGAGGTAGTCCAGGTTGCTGCAGCAGCTTTCCACCACTGTCAGC